CAACCATTCCATGTCAAAATTTCATCTTAAAACTCATATTACAAATTCCTTTATCTTATTGTTTAAATCCCATATAAGCTTTCCTTAAGCTTATTTAATACCCAAAGAATCAAAACTAATTTATAAATTCAAGAATTAAGAAGCTGAAATTAAACTCACCCTTATGAAGTAAACCAACGGGAAGAAGAAAGAAGAAGAATGAAGCTTTCTAGATACTTCCTCACCCATAAGCTTCTCTCTTTAAATAAGAGATAAATATCTTTTACAAAAAAGACCATAATACCCTTTCAATTCTTCCATAATTACCATTTAATCCACTATCAAAATATTACACTTTAAATCCCTAAACTTTTCAATTTTCCTAAATTGATCACCAAATTCTAAAACTTTTCAATTTAGTCACTAACCCGGTATTGCGGATGTTACAATCTTGGTCGTTGCTCCTTTAAAGGAAATATTCAATTAGCTTTAGATTTCTTCATTCATCGGATGTCATTCTTCATGGACCGTTTGAACATATTTGGATCTCCCGATTTTGACTACATGGTTAAGAATTTCTGTCTCATTATGACCAGATTTCTTATTAGTCAATCACTTGTGAATTAACACCTTTGGATCACATGAAGATGCAAATGCAATATATCCAAAATAAAATAAACATAAAACCAAAATGGGTTAGTACACATAATATAAACAACAAAATAATAAGTATCAAAATCATTAAATAAAACCTACCGTTACATGCTGACTACCCAATCAAGCTTTAGTAGATCCTACCCATCATGATATCTACCCCCATGCTTTGTCATTCACAAAAAATCCTAACTGCATGATATCTAATTCGTATGCTGGTTTGAAAAATAAACCTAATCGCATGATCCCTAGTTCGTATACATTTATTCGAAAAACACAATTAAATGACTCAACAAGCTTTTCCTTGTGTACCCTACTCACGAGATTCTTAAGGTTCGGGTTAGGCTTGACCTAGATTCAGGCTCTATGTTCACTATATGTTGGGTTTGGTTCTAAAGTAATAGGTTATCGAATTGTCCTTACCGGTGCTCCTTGGGTTATCGAACCCTCAATCCTGGCCTATCACAGGCTTTTGGAGATCGAGTTCAATTCAAGGGAACACACCTCCTTATATCCGTGCGAAGGTGAATATCATCATGAGAACCATAAGGTGTGAGCTCCAGTAGTGATCCAATATCCTATGCGAAGGTGAATATCATCACGAGAACCATAAGGTGTGAGCTCCAGTAGTGATCCAATATCCTATACGAAGGTGAAAACCACACGAGGGAGTAGTCTCTCACTCCTACCTAAATAGGACGGAGTGGGGTTTTAGCTCATGTTATGATAATGCAACTGTGTAGTGTGTGAGGAAAAGCAAAAAAACACACAATAAAAAAACACTCAAATCAAATCCTTAAATTCCTTTTAAATCACACAATTAATATGAAACCATTAGCAAACATATCAGTACAACTATTTAGTGGTTAATCAATTATAAAAAAATTTAAAACCAAACAAGGGATCAAAAACCAAATTAGAACAAACTTGTAACTTTCATTTGCAAAGACAATTAATTAATAGACTATCGGCCTGACTCTCTAAAAAAGTCCCCAGCAGAGTCGCCAAGCTGTCGAAATGATTTTTTCCTTAAAAATGAGATTTTAAAAACCATGCCATTTTTAATTATTCTCTTTTGATTAAAAACAATGTGATTTAAAAAACCTCTCATTTTGAAAAAAATTAGGATTTCCTTTACGATAAAAAATACGGTTCGATGAGTCGCCACCAATTTTTGATTAGGCTATGATTGGGCACCCAAAAACTTTTTGCAATTTTTAAATAAAAATTAGTTTTAATTAAAACGACAAATTGAAGTCTGCGTTACCAGAAAATGAGTTCGGGAGTCGGTTACATGTGGGGAAGGATTAGTACCCCCACAACGCCCTAAATCAATACCTAGTCGATTAATTAATGTCTTCGCAATGAAACTTACAAACTCAAATTTAATTTGACTTTTGATCCCATAACACAACAAAGATGTGAATTTCATAATGAATTATAATATTCAAAAGCACCACAATAGATTAAATCAAAATTACCAAGCATTTTTAGAAAGATAAAGAATATTCGATTATTTAAAAATGTCGAGATCAAATCTTAGATAAGTTCTAACAATCTTTTCTCGAAAAATTTAAATAACCGAACATTTCTTTTTCTTTCATTCCCAAATTGTAAGTGACGAATCCATTTTTTAGGTTTCACTGATGGGATACACTTTTAATTCAAAAGCGGCTCTCTAATGAGTTAAGACAAGCCACTCAAAATAATTTTAAATTAAAAGGGTATTACCCTTAATCCAATTATGTGATAGGAGTCAAGTTATGCACATGAGGGTATCATACAATTCATGTAAAAATGTCATACGATTCGCAGATAAAAAATTCACATACTTATACATATCAAAACATATCAACATGAAAAATAAATATGACAACTAATTGAAGAAAACAATCCTAACAATGGGCTAAATTAAAAGAATTTTAAATTTAATGAACTAATATAAAAATAAAGTAATCTAAATCTAAAGGTTCAATTGAAAAAGTTCTAATAGTTAAGGATTAAAATCAAAAGTAATCTACCTAAGTGTTTAATTTATACTAAAAGGCTTAAAAATTAAATTAAAGGAAATCTAAAAATAATGACCTCAAATTAAATATCTAACAAAGCACCAAAATGCACAAAAAAAAAAAGAGAATTAACAAATAAATAAAATGATAAAAACGACCTAATTAGAATTAGCAGCCTAATACATGGACTAAATTAAGCTAAACAAACTAACCTAAAAATAATGACTAACTTCAATTAAATGTAAAATTAAATCTACAAAATCAGAAATAATCTAGTGACCTAAATATAAAAATACGCATAAACTAAGGCCTTATATACAATTTCTCCTATTTAGTTTATGTAAAAATAAAATGCAAAATAACATAATAGTGCTGCACATTACAAAAAAAAAATAGAAAATTAAAACAAACAAGGGACTGCTCTGCAAAAATGCGCCTAAATTGCAAGGGCCTAAACCTAATTTACCCTAATCAATACGGTGACTAAATCCTAAATTACCCGAAACTATTAATATAAAACCTAACTAAATAACTAAACCTAGACTTATCCTACACAAACTCAGCCGCTCTCTCTTCCTCTTGCTCACTGCCGAATGTTGTTCCTCATTGGAACCCAAAACGTTCGCCGGCCACCGTATTTCCACAATGGCTCACATTCCGGCCACCTCTAAAATCGACCGAGAAAACTAAAACCTCTCCCTAAACCAACTCGAATCTCCTATTTCTTCCTCAAAATTGTCGATTGTAAACCTCACTATAGCTTCCTTCTTCTACCACAACCGAGACTCCAAAAGCCTTAGAGTCTTCAATGACCACTGCATCAGCCACTACCTCAAAGGCCACTCTCCACTATACTATAACCATTCATCACTCTAAACAACCGACTTCACTTTTCTCCTCTCTAGACCACAAACCAAAACAAACTCACGACTACTAAAGCTCGGGCCAACAATGGCCAATCAAATCTAACTCTAGCTTAAAATGACATGCGGCAGAAACAACCCCTCCCTCAAATCAAGCCCGACTCTAATGGCTCCTAAAGACTATTCTAGTAAACCTTACTTTCGACCTAGGTAAAAAAAACTGAATCCCTTTCATTATTCTTTATTTTTTTATTTGTTTCAAAACGTGACTAAAAAATAGAAATATACCTTATAATCTATTTGATTGGTAACTACTTGTTTTTTTTTTGAATTAAAAAATGCTTGATTTCTGAAAAATAAAAGAAAATGATGAGAAAAGCTTTGTATTGCTCTCTGTGTAAAAACGAAATGGAAGGCCTTTGTTTTTTTTTGTATTTTTTCAAATCTCAGGAAGAAGAACACTATTTTTCATCTCATTACAATGAATCCCCACTCTGCCTTACTGCTTTCGAATGACCCCGATCAGAACCCCCAAGACTCTGTTGCATTCCCCATTTTTTTGCTCAATGATCTCCAATACAAGAAAATGGCCTCCCCTACAAAACTGTTTTTCCCGTTTAATGAATCCCTCCATGTCAAAAACCGATAGAGGAGATTTTTTTCGTGCTCCCTATTTTCTGGTTAACTGCTGATGACTAATCCCCATAACCGTTTTTGTTTTCCATAGGATCTTCACGTGGACTGGAGAGACCACAACAGCTGCTCTACTGGATGGTGGCTATTTGTTTGAAGGCTTGGATGATAGGGCTGTTGTTTTGGGCTGATTTGGGCTTCCACTGATTGAACACTTTGATTTGAGCCTGTAATCCAAATTTGTATATTGTACTGGATCTGTAAAATAAAATAAGAAATTAAATAATTATTTTATACTTTATATATATTCATATGTTAACCTATATATAACTAATATATAAGAAAACAATAATAAATGTCTTTATATATTTAAAACTCAAACGAAAAACCCCGGACAAAACCGAGCATCTACACAACATTAATATATATTTGTATATGTTCAACTTGTATATGGTTCTTTACGTATTCTCTTGGAAAAGAACCAAAGTGTGTGTAGGACCATATTAGAGCAAAGGTTCAAATTAAAGCACACCACCCCCACACAGCCTTTACCCGAAAATTCTCAAAAAATATCCACGTTCTATACACCGGTTGACCTTCCATCTTTGAGTAGAGCCCTCAACAATGTTTTCCCTATAAACAACACCCTTTTCCTTGTGATAACATTTGCTCATCCTTTCTTGCTTCTTCTTGTTATTGTTGGTCGAATCATAACATCAGGAATTTTCTTCATTCCTTTCTTCTCTCTCAAGACTGTTTCATTTCATACTTACGAAAATTCTGGAGCTGGGAATTCGTTGAGTATTTTTCTCTTATCAGTATATCTTGTTGTAGATAAGATAAAACCGTGTCATCTAAGAGACGAATATATACGTATGAGTATTAATAACTGATAATCACTCATCCCAAAGGCTTTTGATTCTTTCAAAACTGTGTTTTTTGTTTTTGATTTCATGGAATATAGCAAGGAAGTTGAAGGGAAAAGAGTCCATGATCCTTTTAACAAGTGTATGACGACGACTACGGTATCCAAGTGTATATGGGTACCGTATCCTGTTATTATCGGTGCTGGCCCTTCGGGTCTAGCCACTGCGGCTTGTCTCAAACAAGGAGGCATCCCTAGTTTGATCCTCGAAAGGGCAAACTGCATCGCTTCGTTGTGGCAGCTAAAAACCTACGATCGTCTTCGCCTTCATCTTCCGAAGCAATTCTGTGAGCTACCCTTTATGCCTTTTCCCGATAGTTTCCCAACTTATCCTACGAAGAAACAGTTCATGTCTTATTTGGAGTCGTACAAGGACCATTTCGGTCTAGAACCTGTTTTCAACAAGACGGTTGTGAGAGCCGAATTCGATCGCCGATGCGGGTTTTGGCGGGTTAAGACACTGGGACTGAAACAGGATGAAACCGAGTATGTGTCGAGGTTTTTGGTGGTGGCGACCGGGGAGAATGCAGATGAAGTGGTGCCGAAGATTGATGGAATGGATGATTTTGGTGGACCGATACTTCACTCGAGTTCGTACAAAAGTGGCCGATTATTCCGAGGGAAAAATGTTTTGGTTGTCGGCTGTGGGAATTCGGGCATGGAGGTTAGCTTGGATCTCTGCAACTGTGATGCTCACCCATCACTCGCCGTTAGAGGCTCGGTGAGCATGCCTTTTTCTGTTTCGTACACCATATTATAACCTGAAAAAGCAATCACCAGCAGATCGATCTTCACACACACATCTATAGAAGTTTCATGCCATGCAGTTTTGTTTTTCCCTTTTGTTTCCATAATACTAAACTACGATTATGATCGCAGTTGAAGATGTTATGAATGTTGCGACCTGATTTATTTCTTAATACATATTCCAAAATGATTATATATATATATATATATATATGCTGTGCCCTAGGGGAAGCAAATTCATATTTGAGGGTGTGGGGGCTAATGTTATCATCTCATCTTTTACATCTTTAGAAGAACTTTTCCTTTTTAAAAGGCCTTTTTATTGCAGGTGCACGTCTTGCCTCATGAGATGTTTGGCATATCAACTTTCGGATTGTCCGTGTGGTTGCTCAAGTGGTTTCCCGTGCGCCTTGTGGATCGATTTTTACTTTTCGTTTGTCGTTTCATGCTCGGAGACACCGAGAAGGTCGGCCTTCACCGTCCCAAGATTGGCCCTCTCGAACTCAAGAGCCGATATGGGAAAACACCAGTTCTGGATGTTGGGACACTGGCCAAGATCAGGAGTGGAAATATTAAGGTAGTACTATTGCCAAGAACATAAACAGTAATTAATCTTATCGAGTTTAATATGACTAAAAACGATAAAACTAACGTACTAAATATAATTACAACTAATTTTATTTATGCAACGTGTACGTAGGTCTATCCAGGAATAAAGCGAATAACATACCATGCCGCAGAATTTGTAGATGGGACAAATGGGAATTTTGATGCCATTATCTTGGCCACTGGTTACCAGAGCAACGTACCGCAATGGTTAAAAGTAATTATACTCAATCCCCTTCATTTTTTTATTTTTCAAAAAACTCAATATCGATTTTATCAAAATTTTAACAAATATTCAATCAATCAATATTATTATTTTTGGTTATTTAAGATGTTAACTTAATTTTTTTTCATTGACTAGGATAAAGACTTGTTTTCAGAGAAAGATGGTATGCCTCGGGAGCCATTCCCGAATGGTTGGAAAGGTGAATGTGGACTGTATGCCGTAGGGTTTACCAAGCGTGGTCTGCTGGGTGCCTCTTTCGATGCAAAAAAGATAGCTCAAGATATTGCTCTTCTATGGAAATTTTATTAGTCGGAATTTAATCTGATGGGCATCAAAAGTTTCGAATTTGATTAAGCTAGAGTTCGGAACTACTTAGCTAGTTAGGCTTTTTGCTTTTTAGAAGGAAAATATTGATCTTCATCGTTGTGAATATATTGTAAATATATCAGTTTTCCAAGAGTAGGCTTTGTTGATCTACCATTGTTTTATATGTTGCCAAAAGTTATATTTTACGTCATAAATTTTCATTTGTGGGAAACAATAACGTGTTATTTAGATTCTTTAATATAATCTTCCTAGTATATCAATTTTATATTGTTAATAGTAGTATATCTTTTGGATACTATAGGCGTCATATTACTTTCAAATAATTTCTTCTTCTCAAAAATATATAAATAAAGAAAAGAGTGTAAAGAGAATTATGATCGGTCCACAAGGACTTTAAAATTTCTGTGATTGTGGACTTTTTGATTTAGATCTGAATAAGGATGAGAAAAGATAGAGATTTGGATAAAAGCGAGAAAAAATAGGGATGAAATTAAAGAAAAAAGGGGTTTTAAATTGTTTAAAATGATAATAATTTGAGATAAAGATAACATAATAAATAAAAAAATAAATTGAAAAATAAATTGAGATAAGTAAAACTTATGGTGAAAACAGTCACATGCTTCAACTTTTGCTTCAATTCAGATTGATCCTTGGAATAGATTTTCATTTCGGATATATGTCGGTTACAGTCTCAATTTCTCTTAGCGGACCGTCGCTAAGTGTGTTCAAAGGAAGTCGAACTTACTACCAGCCGATTATTACTCCTAACTTTAAACCGGAACAACATTAAAACCAACGTCGACTTTTTGATTTAAAAGCGTTTTGATTTTAAAGGATAGGTTGATTACCTATCTTATTTCTCCAGAAAATCGAGAAAATAACCTGAAGGTATTTTAAGTGCTTTTCAATCATCATAATAGGAATTGAGTCATCGCTTTAGCCCTTGGCTTAAGGATAAATTAGCTAAGTGTGAGAATCATACTTAGCATATTTTAAAAAAAAAGAAAAAAAAGAAAACTTTTATAAAACCCAAAACAAAGAAGAAAAATGAATTCTAAATGTGTTTTTAACCTTATCCTAAGAGGGTATTTTAGCCTTCAAAAATCTTAAAAACAAAGAAAAAATAATTCCTAAAGATAATAGATAATTCCTAAAGATAATTCTTAAAATATATAAACTAAAATCCTAAAAAATGAGTTTAACTTGAATTTGAATTTCAAAAACGCGGAAGACACATTCGTCCTTCTAGAAGCGCTGACTGGACCTTCTTGAAGATGCTGACTCAATGCCTCGTCAGATGCGTCATGCCCAAAGTCATGTCCACTAATCTAACCTTGATTCCAAAAATAAAAGAAAATACATAATTCTGTCATTTAAGTGTAATTTCCATAATCTAATGTCATGTACAGAAAATGAATCAAAATGAACAAATCAACCACAAAAATCAACAACTAAGAAGCAATTTAAAGGCAAAATAATAACTAAATAAAACACCTATAAGATACTAATTACATCAGTAAATGTCAAATGTGATGTCATAAAACAATATTATACACCCATGTTAAAACCCTTTTTCATAATGAAGAGCTTTGGTACTTGTTAGGTATGGCTCATAAATATCAGTAAAGAGGATAGGAGCGGAGTGAGCGAAGCGAACATCAACTGTCCTTACAAAGAAAGTCTCGTTGTGGGGTTATGAATTATGTGGGTTGGGGGTGTGGGGGCTGCGCAGGGTTGATTTTGTAATTATGTACCAGTGTTTTCTATTATAAATAGAGATGTAACCTAGACCTAAAATATCATTGAATAAAACTTCTAGCGCCGCCTAGGCACCGAGGACGTAAGCACAGAGTCGAACCTCGTAAAATTCTCGTGTTCTTTTGTTTTCTTTACCCGTTTTCGTCAACAATTGGTATCAGATGTCAGGAGCAAAATTCGAAGTCGCGAAATTCGATGGTCAGGGTAACTTGGATTATGGAAAACGAGGGTGAAGGATCTATTGGCGCAGCAAGGGATCTTGAAGGCTTTGCGACCTACAAAGCCGGCGTCGATGGATGAGGAAGATTGGGAAGAATTGCAGTAGCGAGCGACAGGAACCATACGATTATGCTTGGCGGACGAGGTCATGTATCACGTCATGCATCTATCGTCTCTAGAAGAAATTTGGAGGAAGTTGGAAAGTCAGTTTATGTCCAAATCCTTAACAACAAAACTGTATCTGAAGCAGCGGCTGTATGGGCTGAAGATGCAGGACGATCACGATTTGGCGCAACACGTGAATGTCTTCAATCAAATCATTTCTGATCTGGCTCGGCTTGATGTGAAAATTGAGGATGAAGACAGAGCGATGATTCTGTTGTGTTTGTTGCCTCCCTCTTACGAACACATGGTGACTACTCTTACATATGGGAAAGAGACTATCAACGTTGAGGAGATTACTGCAGTCTTGTTGGCTCACAACCAGCGGAAGCAGAATGCAGGGGAAAGCTCTCAAGCCGATAGCTTATATGTCAAGGGTAATCGAGATCGTGGATGGAAGCCAGAGAAGGCAGGGTCCGGGAAGCGGAATTCCAGATCCAAATCCAGGGATAAGAAGACGATTCACTGTTACAAGTGCAAGGAGGCGGGACATATGAAGCGAGATTGTCCGAAGTTGAAAAAGCAGACTGATGAGAAGCGTGATGGCTCATCCAAGTCTGTGAACGTGGTCGAGGATGATAATTCTGATTGCAGTGAGGGTGATATGCTTTCAATTTCAACGACACAATTGACGGATGCTTGGATTCTTGATTCTGGATGTTCTTATCACATCACGCCAAATAGGGAATGGTTTTCGACATACAGGCCGGTTAATTCTGGTTCGGTTTATTTGGGTGATGATCGATGTTGCAATATTGTTGGTATTGGTGATGTCAGAATTAAGATGCACGATGGCTCCGTTCGGACATTGAGTGGTGTTCGACATATCCCAGACTTGAAGAAGAATTTGATTTCCTTGGGCACTTTGCACAAGAATGGTTTTATCCCTAAGGCTGACGAGGATAGGGAAACCATTCGGATTGTTAAAGGAGCATTGACTATGATGAAAGGCAAGATGACTGCAGGGAATATCTACAGATTGTTAGGGAGTACCGTTGCAGGTGGAGTTCACTCTGTTGAGTCCTGTGATGATACGACAAAATTGTGGCATATGCGCCTTGCTCATCTTAGTGAACGTGGTATGGCAGAATTACACAAGAGAAACTTGTTGCATGGTGTCAAAAGCTGTAAGCTCGATTTTTGCAAGTATTGTGTTCTTGGTAAACAGACTAAAGTCCGTTTTAAGACTGCGAAGCACACAACTCAAGGGATTCTTGATTATGTGCATTCTGATGTATGGGGGCCTTCCACGACATCGTCTTTGGGTGGATCTAGGTACTATGTTACTTTTATTGATGATTTTTCACGGAAAGTTTGGGTGTATTTTTTGAAACAGAAATATGAAGTTTTTGAGAAGTTCAAGCTGTGGAAAGCTGAGGTAGAAAACCAAACAGGACGAAAAATCAAGTGTTTGCGGTATGACAATGGTACAGAGTACACAGATTCACAGTTCCTACAATTCTGTAAGGAGCGTGGGATTCAGAGGCATTTTACAGTGCGCAAGACACCACAACAGAATGGTGTTGTGGAACGAATGAACAGGTCGTTGAATGAAAGAGCCAGATGTTTGCGGTTGAATGCGGGGCTTCCCAAACACTTCTGGGCTGAGGCTGTTAACATGGCGTGTTACCTTATCAACAGATCGCCAAGGGCATCGCTGGCTGGGAAAGTTGCAGAAGAGGTATGGACTGGTCATGATGTTAGTTTTGATAACTTACGGATTTTTGGTTGTCCTGCTTATGTGCATGTACCTGCTGATGAGAGATCCAAACTTGATGCAAAATTGAAGGAGTGCATTTTTCTGGGTTACAAGAAAGGTGTCAAAGGATTCAAGTTCTGGGATCCAATTGAACGTTTTTGATCCATGTTGCAGCAGAAGCAAGACACGACAGTGGTAGATTTCGAGCAGTTTCCAGTTGAGAAACCAGAAACTTCTCAACTGACTTCTGGTGGTTCCACTAGGGATGATTTGCAGGATTATAGTCTCGCCAGAGACAGGGTGAGACGGACGAATATAAAGCCTCCTAACAGATTTGGGTTTTGAAGACTTGGTATCTTTTGCACTTATTGTTAGTAGTGATGATCCGGTTACTTTTCATGATGCCGTTACTAGTCAGGAAAACGACAAGTGGATGTCAGCCATGGTTGAGGAGATGGAGTCTTTGAATCACAATCGCACATGGGAGTTAGTTACCCTTCCTGAGGGTAAAAAGCCGATTGGTTGCAAATGGGTGTATAAGAAGAAACCAGCAGTAACAGAAAAAGAGGGGGAGAAGTTTAAGGCTCGTTTTGTAGCGAAGGGTTTTTCACAGCAGAAAGGAGTTGATTATGATGAAATCTTTTCTCCTGTGGTCAGGCACACTTCAATCCGAGCAATACTTGCATTGGTGGCTAGTTGGGATTTGCATTTAGAGCAGATGGATGTTAAAACTGCTTTTTTGAATGGTGATTTAGAGGAGCATATCTACATGCGGCAACCTGAAGGTTTCACTCAACCTGGAAACGAGCATTTAGTTTGCAGATTGAAGAAATCTTTGTACGGGTTGAAACAGTCTCCGAGACAGTGGTATAAACGGTTTGACTCCTATATGATCAAGATTGGCTACAACCGATGTGAGTATGATTGTTGTGTCTATGTTAAGAGCCTTGATGATGGTTCTTTTATTTTTCTATTATTGTATGTTGATGATATGTTGATTGCTGCGAAGAACATGGATGATGTTATCAGTTTGAAAACTTTATTGAGTCAGGAATTTGATATGAAAGATTTAGGTGCTGCAAAGAAAATTCTTGGAATGGAAATTTGCAGGGACAATGACTCAAGGAAACTGCGGCTATCTCAACGGGGTTATGTTGAGAAAATGCTAGAAA